CAAACCATTTCAAATTATTTTTTAAGATAAGTTACTTTTTGAAAAAAAGTGACATTCTAAACCTTTCTTCCTGCTCCCTTGTGATTTTTGGCACTCTTCTCTGCCTTCTAGGTAGTCCGTTCTGCACACAACTCAAGCTTTTTAGATATATGGCAGGATTTTCTTGATCCTCTGATTAAAGCTACTTTCTCTCTCTTTGCATCTCCCCCCAGTTTAATTTATTTCCTTACTGTTGAGTCAATCAGAACATTGGGCTTTTTCCTAGTAATCCCTTTTTGCTTTTTTAAATCTCATCTAACTAATGTTCTGTTTAGTATTGGGATAAATTGGATGAGCCTCTGGGTAGAGATCTGTGTAGTCTACTTATGTGCGGTATCTACTGCAGCTCAGATGTTCTAAAAATAAAAAAAAACGAGCACAATAATGTTGGTCTTTGTAGTGCTGGCCATAATGACGATGACAACAACATACTACTAATACTAATGCTAATAGTACTATTAATAATATAGTCACCCCTCCACATTTGCTGGACATCTGTGAAAACGGAAAAATCAAATCTGCAAACAATTAAATCCACAAAAATTAAACTTGTGTTGACAATGGGACCTGAAATTCCACCTGTTTCAGGCACGTCAGGTAGGGACTGAGACAGGATCTTCTCAGACTGGAACTGCACTGCCATATAGTCCACTTTCAGAATGCCGAAGAACTGCTTTGAATTGGAATTTTATTTATTTATTTACAGTATTTATATTCCACCCTTCTCACCCCACAGGGGACTCAGGGAGAATCACAATGCACATATGCATGGCAAAAATTCAATGCCATAGACACTCAACATATATAGACACACACACACACAGGCTATTTAACTTCCAGCTTCATGAGGGTATGTTTGAATTCCAGCCACCGGGGGAGCTGTTGCTTCACTGTCCACTTGTGACACTAATGGAGTACTTCCTCATACTTTTTCATGCTGCTGGAGATTTTTATGGCATTGCAAATTAATTAAATTAGCCTCCCTGCATAAGTGGTACCTAAATTTCGTATTTGACAGATTGAACTGTCTTTCGGGCTGCAAAGGTCGACAGCAAGCTAGACAAATGGTTGGGAGCTTACTCTGACCTGGTCTGGCTTCGAATCTACACTGCCATATAATCCAGTTCAATGCAGTTAATCTGCATTATGAAACTGGATTATATGGCAGTGCAGATGGGGTTAAAAGATAACCTAACTTCTTGTCCTTCTGTTAGCAAGCAATGAGTTTTTTTAAATCACAGTAGGCATTTGAGAAGTGAGAGATTGTAAAGAAATAAACTTAAGTAGGGTGCGGTACTGTTTTTGTTTGCACTGTTTTAAAACAGCTCTCTCTTATTTTTAATCATATGTTTTACACTATTTTCTATATTACTGACAGCATAACTATGTTTTTAAAACATTAACCTATATTATGATCTCATAACAGTGGTCTGAACTGCTTTTTTCAGCACCCATATAACTTGATCATTATATAACACAAGTAAAGTGCTTTGAACGTTCAAAAACACTGTACAAAGGTCGCATACTGCAGCAGTTATGACAATCCAGATTGACCTTACTTTGGTTGTTGGCCTAAATCCAACATCAAGCTAAACGGTCATCCAGCAGCATGATGAAAGGTTTTCCCCTCCCATTGCAAGTCTCCATACTACATCCAAATCTGCTCTTAGAGGTTCCCCATCATTCTGGAGCAGGTTTTGAAGATACATTTGAAGGCTGTTGTAGTAGGGAAAAAGTTATTTCAGGTCTCCACGGGATCCTGGCTTTTGATGTTTGGCACTAGACATACAAGGTATGACATCTCATCAAAGTATCTCCAGGTCTGATTAAAGTGTGTGTCTACCCTAACATTATAGTAATTTGAGATCACTTTAGCCTTCATAGCCTGACCCTTGGTGAAGTACTTAGAAAGAGAGCTCTAGGTCACTCTCCTAGAGCTCCCTAACAAAAAATTATGAACTTCAAGTTAAAATGGTATTGGATTTCTATAACTTTTGTTGTGTGTCTTCAAGTAATCTCCAGCTTACCGAGACCCTATGGTGACCTTATCACATAGCTTTTGGGGGCTGAGACTATGTGATTTGCACAGGGTCATGCAGTCGGTTTTCATGGCCAAGCAGGGAATCGAACCCTGGTCTCTGGAGTCAGGTTTCAGGACTCACCAGGCTAACTCACCACTATAACTGTAGCATGAATCATAGAACTGGAAGGGCTCATAAGCCATCAAATCCAACCCATGTATTCGTATGTTCTCACTATGAGCCTGGTACTTCTTCACTCACCGTGGTGGATGATACTGCGATCCAGCAATTTCTGTACAAGTTTAATTGCCATCTCTCTGTCGGAAGCCTCCTTGTGATCGATCAACCAATCAATCAGTTCTTTGGCAACAAAGCAGTTTGGGTAGGTCTTCAAGTGATGCCTTCGATCTTTGATGATCTTTTCTTCATGCAGTCTAAGCCTATAAGCCAAAGGACATCACAGTGTGTTTAGTTTATAAGTTGGAAAGGAGCCCCTCTTTCCAGTGTTGTAAGAAGCGGCATAACTGCTAAGAGAAAGTTTCCCTTAAGAGTTATTATTACTAGTTCCAACTCTTCCTCCTCTTTAGCTATGGTGGGAAACAAGAGATCATGCATCTCCCAAAAAAATAAACCTGATAAAGTGGACTATAATCAATGAATGCTTCTGCCTGCATTTTTTCTCTCCCAGGCCCCATCTACACTGCCATATAATACCGTTCGAAACGGCATTTTAAGGCCAACGTAGACTTACATAACACAATTCAACTGTATTATATGAGTCTACACTGACCATTTCTGAAAATGGATATACAACTCTTATCACTTTCCTTTGTATACTCAAATAATCACCAGTGTGTTCTGATACATGTCAGGCATGCATACACTTGTCTAAGTGTATAAAGGCATGTGATTCTAAATGGCACCCTGCTTATTTAACATTGTATGCACTTTAGCCCTTCCCTTTCCATCTGTTACCACACCCCAGATAGGACAAAGCATATATATGACTACATATCCACTTTCTCTCACAATCTTGCTGAGAAACTACCATTTCCTCCAGTCCATTTTGCCATTATTGGAGAGAGATATGATTTTATTTTTTCTCATATTATTTTTCTTATAACACAACAATCAACCACTTTCTCATTTTCATGGCTCATTTCATGGCCTTTGCCACAATATTGCTTTGCGTAGTGGCTCACAATTGCCTCCTTTATTTACATCCCATTCCTTTTGTATTCACACACCACTTAGGGCAGGTACAATAGTTAAAAACAATCATAAAATTCCAAATTAAAGTCTTAAACTGCAATCCTGTTGACATTTACTGTGGAGTAAGTTTCATGGGATTCAAAAGGATAGCATGGTTGAAAACAAGAGTCAGTTTAGAACTGATTTTTTAAACTGATAAGCTGTATGCCTTATTGTGGGTCTCATGTATCACAACAACTGCCATACCAACAAAATATTTATAGGGACAGAGAAAGGGCAGCCTTATTCCATGTGTTAGAGTTATGCCTGTGACATAACAATAAAAGGTAAAAGTTTCTACTTGACATTAAGTCTACTCGTGTCCGACTCTGGGGGGTGGTACTCATCTCCATTTCTAAGCTGAAGAGCCGGCATTGTCCGTAGACGCCTCCAAATTCATGTGGCTAGCACGACTGCATGGAGTGCCAATACCTTCCTGCTGGAGTGGTTCCTATTTATCTACTCACATTTGCAAGCTGGGGCTAACAGTGGGAGCTCACCCTGTTCCCTAGATTTAAACCGCCAACCTTGCGGTCAGCAAGTTCAGCAGCTTAGCGGTTCAACCCTTTGTACCAATGGTATGTTCACCTTAATGTTTCCATTCTGAATGTATCTTCCATGGACTATTCTCTGTTTTAATAGTATTTTAATTTTCACTTATATATATCAAAGGTTATGATGACTTTCTGAATCCCAGAGTATAGTTCTGTTGCAATTTATATGGGAAAGTGCTTTTCCTACATGTAACCACAACATTTGATGCAATTGAGAAAGTGGAAAGCTGATGCCAAATAAAACTTGTTAGACTCAATGTGCCAGGAAAAACTTGCATTCTTTTTTGCAATCTAAAATAAATGTAGCTTTAATAAATTGTTTTAAGTGAACTTTTTGAGCTTTCCCCTTTTAATCAAATAGAATCCAAAGAGGAAGCATCCATGGGATCAGTAATAACTTGGTAAGCGGACATTTATCTCAGTTCCAAGAATTCAATGGATCAGACTAAACACTAGATTTAGTCCAGAAGGGCTTTCTAGTGCGAAGGCTCCAAGTTTTGCTGACAGGATAAATTGTGTGAAAACAAAGAAGGGAAACTAAATAATGAGTACAGCCTTTTCTGAAAGCTTTGGAAAAGTCAATGAAATATATTATCATCATGCTCATTTTGTTGTTTGTTTTATGCTTCAAATCTGAAGGAAATGCTCTGTTAGAGGACTGCAGCAAATCTTGCAGAGCTACAGTGCTAGAATTGCTTGAGAAAAGCAAATCACACAAAGTCTAGATCATTTCTTGAGCGATCTAAATAAGTCATAAACATGAAGTCAGTTTCAGTCCTGGCAGAGGCTGGAATTGGTTCTTGGCCTTTTAGCAAATAAACAACATGAAGAGAGGCAGAAGCATTCCTGTAGTGCCATATGCTAAGACGCATAAACACACCCCAGTGTGTCTATTAAATACATTTGCACACTGGCAGCAGCCAGGAATAATTCTCACATGTAAGTGTTAACAAGCTTTGCATTACCACATAATTTGTGATGCCCCGCTGCCAAAGAACTACACCCAGAGTCACATGCAAGGGGAGGGGGTGGGGGGTGGATACATAAAGCAATCTATATAAATAAAAATGCAATGTTCGTTTGTGGGATTAACCGAACTCAAAAACCACTAGACGAATTGACACCAAATTTGGACACAAGACACCTAACAGTCCAATGTATGTCCTTCACTAAAAAAAAAAAAATGTTGTCATTTAAGAGTTGTAGTTACTGGGATTTATAGTTCACCTACAATCAAATTGCATTCTGAACTCCACCAATGATGAAATTGGGCCAAACTTAGCACAAAGGACTCCCATGACCAACAGAAAACACCAGAATGGTTTGGTTGGCATTGACCTTGAGTTTGGGAGTTGTAGTTCACCTACATCTAGAGAGCACTGTGGACTCAAATAAGGATGGATCTGGACAAAACTTGGCACAAATACTCCATATGCCCAAATGTGAATTCAGATGGAGTTTGGGGGAAATAGACCCTGACATTTGGGAGTTGTAGTTACTGGGATTTATAGTTCACCTACAATCAAAGAGCATTCTGAACCTCACCAACGACAGAATTGGGGCAACTTCCCACACAGAACCTTGATGACCCAACAGAAAATGCTTAAGGCCATCCAGTCCAACTCCCTTCACAAGGGCAAGAAAACGTAATCAAAGCCCTCCTGACAAAGAGCCATCCAGCCATAGATATAGATAGTTATATATGATTCACACACAAACAGATATAGTATCATATATTTGAAAAGGACCCCTAAAAAAGGACAATTATATGTTCCATGTTCCAGAGTAGGCAAACCAGACACTCTCCACATCAACACTGACAAAGAAACAGCAAGAAATACTGTTTACCTACCCACAAGCATAAAGAAATTATAAATATTAGAAACCAAAACTTTCTCAGTACTTTATTTTCCAGATCACCAGACTGGGCCACAGCAACGCGTGGCAGGGGACGGCTAGTCCTGAATATATGGAGAAAGACAAAAATGTGGGACTTAGGATATATAACAAGATTCATCAAGGGAGTGCAGGGGGCAGGACTGCTGGGTCTCTTGGGCCCTTCTACACTGCCATATAATCCAGGTTATCAAAACAGATAATCCACATGATCTGCTTTGAACTGGATTATATAAATCTATGCTGGCATATAATCCAGTTCAAAGCAGATAATCTGGATTTTATATGGCAGTGTAGAAGGGGCCGCTGTTTCATCAAAGTACAAACCTCCACTTCCATAGCATAGAGTTCCATTATAGCTAAATCTCCTGGATTCATCACTAAGCCTGGTCTCGGCAGTGGCCAGGATGGCTTTTGCACAATTAAAACTTGTGCACCAGTTGTGCCCATAGATTGAGAAGTCAGACTTGGCTGTGGTGGTTCATGCTCTTGTTACATCTTGACTAGACTACTGCAACACACTCTACGTGGGGTTGCTTTTGAAAACTGTTCAGAAGCTTCAAGTGGTCCAATAGGAGGCAGCCACATTCCTCACCGGAGTGACATACAGGGAGCACACAACCTCTCCTCTTGTGTCAGCTCTACTGGCTGCCAGACTGCTCCTGAGCACTATTCAAAGTGCTGGCTTTAGCCTATAAAGCCTTAAATGGTTCTGGCTAGCTTACCTATCCAAACATACCTCCCTCTACGAACCACTTCAGAGCTTAAGATCTTCTGGGGAGGTCATGCTCTCAGTCCCACCTCCTTTGCAGGCATGACTGGTGGAGATGAGAGACAGGACCTTTTCAGTGGTGGCCCCTTGGCTGTGGAACTCCCTTCCCAGCAAAATTAGATCAGCCCCTTCCCTCTTAACCTTTAGAAAGAAATTAAAAACTTGGCTGTGGGACCACACCTTTGCAGATTAATTCAGTACAATAGGTAGAATTGTGTGATTTTAACAATTAGTTTTTAATATATAGATGTTTTTTCTTTACTTTATGGTTTATGTATATGTTTATTTCATTTATTTATTTATTTCATGCATTTCTACCCCGCCCTTCTCCCCCCAAAGAGAGACTCAGGGTGGCCTCACACAAGCATCATGTGATGCTATCAGCATATAAACAAACAAAGATTACAGTTAAAACAGTAAAAATCATTAAAACGCATTATACAAATTCATTAAACAAGTTCATTAAACAATAAATTAAACATGCCAATTAAAACCAAGACCAAGTCAGGGTAAATCCAATGTCGCAGATATCCTAAAATTCTTTCCAATTGCCACTGTTCACTAATCGAATGCCTGGTCCCAAAGCCAAGCCTTCAATTGTCTTCTAAAGGACAGGAGGGAGGTGACCAACCTGATGTCCTTAGGAAGGGAGTTCCACAGTTAAACAATATGTTTATTGTTTTTACATGTTTGTTTATACAGCATTGAAGTGCTCACAATTTATAAGCCGCTCTGAGTCCCCTTCAGGGTGAGAAGGGCAGGGTATGAATATAGTGAATGAATAAATAAGTAAAAATTCTGTAACTGTGTAGTGTAAGATGAGCAAGACAGTTCCATGATCCAATCCAGTAGAAAGTAGCGTTATGATGCTCTTTTATGAACAGTCTGTATTTCACACTGTGCATAAAAGAGCATCATAACTCTAAAATACACTTTGATTATTTGGGGCAAGTTTACTTTTAACTTA